AATATACAGAGTGTTTCGTAATAGCACGGCACTATTTTAGTTATGTGTTCACTAACACAAAATAAACAAAAATGTTCATATTAACATATATCTCAAACTCATTTATTAAATAAATATCAAATGTTAAAGATTTATTTATTATTACTACTTATTTATTATTATTATTATAATATTTAGAGTAACTGTTCAAAGGGCCGACATTTTGTTGAATGCAACATTCAGAACGACGATTCTATTCAGCACTTCTATATGGCAAATATGGCACAGGTCACCGAAACCTTCTCAAGTAGTTTAACAATAAAGTAGTTTAAAAAAAATAAATTTGTCTTGGTAAATAAAAATCTTGATCTACTGGTAATATTTAAAACAGTCTAAAATTATCTAATAGATATTTATATATCTATGTTCCTCGTACAGATCAAACAAATATTAAGAAACTTTTTAAAAATCTAAAAAGAGGTAGTCCTACATGTAAAGAAGATAAAACAAAAACACTTTCTAAAATACATCATCTATTAATAAGTTGTAAACAAATATAAATAATATAATTTAATATTTCAGAATATTATTCAGTTATAAAAATAAATGTAAAGTGACGATGCGACTTTATTTACCGAGAGAGTATAATTTAGCTTTCGTTTACCTTATTTACATTAATGACAATCCGAAAGCATTTTTCGAGATGAACATAAATTAATATTGGTAAATTATATTAATGTATAAAAATCTATGTTTTATAGATTAGAGTTTAGGGAAATTAGGGAGATGTGTGGTTTCCAGGAGAGGGTTTGATCGAATGTAACACCAAAGTTTTTTACGGAAGTATGGAATGAGATAGGTGAAAAGATTGGGGAGTGTGAGTAAGGATTTGAGGAGTGAGGGAGATCCAATCAGAATGGCTTTCGTCTTGTTGGCGTTTAGAGTAATCCTATTGTTATTTGCCCAGGCAAATACTGCGTTTATATCTTCCTATAATTTTTGTATGGCGCTAGAGGATTCGGTTGGATTGAAGGAGAGGTAAATCTGGACGGCGTCGGCGTACAGATGGTATTGACTGTGTAGGATAGAGGATGAAAGGTCATTGATGTAGATGGAAAAAGGGTGGGAGATAAAGAGGAGCCTTGTGGGACACCCCTGGACAAAGGTAAAGGTCCTGATGGGGGGTTATTGGAGACTATAACTTACTGGGAGCGGTCGGAAAGGCAGGATTGGAACCAATTAAGGGTACTAGTTGAGAAGGAAATATTTTTAAGCTTGATTAGGAGAATTTTGTGGTCTAGTGAGTCGAAGGCTTTGGAGAAGTCAAGGAGAATAAGGATGGTGAATTTCTGCTGGTCCATGGCTGTGTGAAGGTCTTGGGAAATTTTGATGAGGGCAGACTGAGTGGAGTAGCCAGGCCGGAAACCGGACTGTTTGGGATTTAGGAGGTTATTCTGTTCTAAAAAATAGGTTAAATGGGTTTGAACTTGTCGCTCTAAAGGTTTGGAAAGATTTGAGAGGAGAGAAATTGTGTGTAATGGCTCCTCAAGCACTCTTATCGGGATTTTAGACCTCTCCATCCGAGCTATGTGTCCTGCCCAACTCAGCCTTCCTAATTTTATTATTCTGGCCACATTATTTTCATCAAACAATTCGTAGACCTCTCTATTCTTCCGAATTCTTCAATCCCGAATCCCTCTTTTACAGGGCCAATTATTCTTCTAAGGATTTTCCTTTCAAAGACTAGAAGGCCTTTTTTCGTCATTTTTGGCTAAAGTCCATGTTTGCTTACCGTCGGTAAGAACAGAAAGGATGAGCTTTCTATGGCGTGCGTCTACTATTCTTCAGATAACGAATCGGAGGCAGTGAAGACTTTATAAGTAATGGATTTATTCATAATTTTTCTTCCAAATGGCATCTAAAATACAGAGTAATATACTATGGATAATGGATTGACTACATGAGTTCACTCCAGGTCTCCTACAGTGAAGAGTGTGACTTCAAGAATGTAACTACATGAGTGAATTGTTCTTAGGAGCATGGGGTTTATATACCCAAGAATAGTGGAGAAGTGAAGGGAAGTCGGAAGAGGACGGCAAAGGATGTTATCGATAGTTAATATTCTTAAGATGAGATCTGTGAGAAAGTGCCTTTTGGCTGAACTCTGTTATTGTTCCCTAAGTTTTGATAATGGGTCTTCTGTCCCGTCGGTACATTCTAGATAACTATTTCTAAGCTATCAGAGAGAGCTTGACCTGGCTATCTAGGGATGCTTTGCTCTTTTATCCTTTGGTCATGAGAAAGGTCAATGCATGATTCACTAATTGGCATATTAAATAAAATAAAAGTTAAATTAATATTATTATTATTATTTGTTACGAATTAAGTCCATTCCGTAACTTTCATTTTATTTAAAGTGACGCCTCATTTTTTGTTGCAATTTGAGATCCCAGATAAGAGAACTGTTGGACATTCTCAAAGGCTTAAGTGCCTAGAGATATGATAACTTTGTAGTTATAGTAAAAGATTATAATAATAATTCATGATTTCTCCATGGGATTCATTTTTGTCTGATATATCATTCATACAGCGGAGTAAAGGGTCTATACTATCGATATAACTAGGTCTATACTTGTACATTTAGTGTGGATAAATTACTTGTTTAGAACTGAGTCAAATCCGACTGCGATATAAGCTTTAAAATGAATTGTCGACGATTTGATAAGTAGCGATGATGAAGATAAAGGCAGAGAACATAACGGCTAGTGAAATATGTTTCCGCACCTCGACCCGCAAACCTTGAACCCTCGCGTGGGAGCATCGCGATAAGCCCGTTCCGCATATTGTGTTCCCTTAAATCCCGACAAGGGCAGTTAAAGTATTTTCATTATTTTTATTTTCTTATTTAACAAACTTTTCTTATTTATATGAAATCGCGGAAATCAAAAAATATTTCTCGCGTGTTCTTACTTATATATGATAAATGAGCAATGAAACTTTTTTTTTTTATTCGTTCATTGATATTTTAAACTGTGTTATAAAAAAATACAACTAGTAAATGTGCACACAGTAATAATAAATACAATCACATGTAAACGCCTGTAGAGAAACTACCCATTGGTAGTTTCCCAATGGTGTACCCACTCTAATAATATATTTACATAAGTAGATCACGAGGTCATCTTCTTTTCAGACGCCTCGGAGGCTTATCAGGGATCGAAGAGGAAGCAAGGTTTGAAACGAGAGGATTCGGATGGTTATGAAGTTTATTATGGAAGGATAGGTATCTGGATTCGGCCAAATCGGAAACATATAGAACATTGAGGTCTTTATGGATTATTTTATTTGTGACAAAGTAAGGAGCGTTTAGGATTTTACGAAGGATTTTGTATTGGATACGAGAGGAATTCGATGGTTTAATGGAGCCCCAAAGCTCAATTCCGTAAGTCCAAATAGGTCTTATTATTGTCATATATATGAGCCGTTTGTAATTGATTTAAAGTTTACATCGTTTGTCTAGTAAGTGTTGGAGTAGTCGGAAACGTCGAGCTGTTTCTTGTCGTTTCAGTCTTGTATGAGGATTCCATGTGAGTCGTTTGTCGAGGTGGAGTCCTAAGTAACGGATTTGTTCAACTGGGATAAGTGGGGAATTATTAAAGGATACTGTAGGACAGGAGGTCTTGGGTTTGCGAAGCAGGGTAAAGATAATTTGATGCGATTTATTGGAATTTATTTTAATTCTCCAGTTTTTACACACTTCAAGGTTTGTGATATGTGATTGGAGAGTTTGGGATGCAATTGATGGATCGTTATTAACAGATAGGATACAAGTGTCATCAGCGTATGTGGTGATGATATTGTCAGGATGGGTTGGGATGTCAGCTGTATAAACTGTGTAAAGGGTAGGACCAAGGATACTACCTTGAGGAAATCAATGGAACTAAACGAAATTAAAGACATCGAAAAGCGATCTAACATGACATTAAACTCGCTTAGCACTTCATTTTCAGAAGATGTATCAAAGAAAGGGGTGCTTGGAGGATGGCACATTTTGAAGGAGTTTTGAATTTTTGAGGGGAATACACTTTGACTGGTTTTGAACGTTTGGAGGAAACCATATTTTTATGGGATTTTAATTATTGTTGCCAAAAATCAGTCTTCGTCTTGCACTTTGCCTAATTTTTTGCAAGACCGAGAACAGGACTGGTAAAAATAATCGATTTGTTAAATAAAAATTAAGGCAAAATAGTTATTAATATTTGTAAATCTTAGTTACTGTATGTTAATTTTTTTCTGGAGAGCGTTAGAAAAGCTTTATTTTTTTACTTTGGCGTTAAAAAAGTTTTATTTATTTACACCATAATATGCCTTACGACAACACGAGTTTTGATAGAGGAAGGCGTAATGAATGATATATCCATTAAGCTTCCTCAGCATCTTCTTCTTCCACCTCCTCTCTTTGCCTAGCAGCTCCAAGCTTTAAGTATTCCGGTCCCACAGTCGTCTTCCACTCGTCCATTCGAACTCTTCGAAAAACGTGTAGTTCTCTTCTTTCACGAGGAAGAGGAAATTACCTTCTGTCATTACGTACAATCCCGTTTTCCTCCGTTGCATTTTCTCAAGTCCTTCAAACATAGTGCAGTCATTAATGTTCGGTAGTTGCAGGAACGTGGAACCTTGGACGTAGGGACGACGTCCTTGCCAAAAACCAGCCAACTCTTCTTCTTCATCCACAGCTCTTCAAGCACTTAATGTACAACCCTCCACTCAACCTCATATATCCTTCCCCTAATTAAAGGAATATATGAAACTAATACTAATTTTCAAAAAGACTGTACTCCAGCAATCTTTTGGGAGCAGCCCTGATGAAGGCCTGAATTTCAGGTCGTTATGTTAAAATATTTTTATTTTATTTTAAATAGTTTTATTTCTGACTGATCACTCCAACCATCCTTCTCTTCATTATTAACGACAGTCAACCATCATTCCTCAATTATTAATGAAATTGGTTTTGTTCGCAGGAGTTCGACAGGATGACTGAGGTGTGCGGGTCGGCGCGGGTGGGCCCCTCCGGCTGGCAGAAGATGGACCTGACGCGAGCAGTGACGGACTGGTACCGGCGCGGCGGCGAACGGCTGCGGCTACTGCTCGACTGCTCGGGCTGCGGCCGCCAGACCTCGCCGTCGCTGTTCGCCTCAGGCACCGACCACCGGCCCTTCCTGGCAGTCAGGGCGGAGCCGGCGCTGTCTCGCCGCGTGCGGCGGCGGGCGCTCGACTGCACCGGGGCGCCGCGCGGCCAGTGCTGCAAGCAGCGCTTCTACGTCAGCTTCAAGCAGCTCGGCTGGGACGACTGGGTGATCGCCCCGAGCGGCTACTACGCCAACTACTGCCGCGGCGACTGCTCGGGGCACAGGACTCCCGACAGCTACGTCAACCACTACACGCACGTGCTGGAGGAGTACCGCAAGACGGACCGGCTAGCCGGATTGCAGCCCTGCTGCGCCCCCATCAAGTTCTCGTCCACCTCGCTTATCTATTACGGCCCCGACATGAACATTATTAAGAGGGACTTACCCAAAATGGTGGTCGAAGAGTGTGGATGCCCTTAAGTGCGACCGTCTTGTGCGTCCATCTTGATAAATTTAAAAAAAATAATTGAGGAAAGAGATGGTCTGGGATGGCGGTCTTCAAAAAAACTTAAAATACTGAAAAATATTATAGTTGTACCGAAAAGTTGACTTAAATAAAATAGTTTCCACTATTTTAAGTTTTTTTAATAAACGTCATCCCAGACGGTCTTTTTCCACAGTATTATACTACGGTCAACTATTAAAAAAAAAATATGTTCGTATTGTAAATACCATCGATTTTAGTATGGACAACTTGGAGTGATCGCGAATGGTGATTAGATTGGAAAGGTGTTAAACCTACAGACACTTCCCTTTCATCTAGCCATGTTTCTTTATTCTAGTTTAGCTGTAAAGTGTAGTTAACATCCCTTGTGGAAACTTCTTCAAAAAAAAAATAATAATAATAAATAATAAATAATAATAAATAAATAATCTAATGATGTTGGAAAGAATGTGCTTGACTGTTAGAACGGACTTGAAATTAATTATTAAGATGATGTTTGTAAATATTAGAAGATGGTTGCAGCTGTAGATGTATACTTCAAATGTTTGCCAAAAATTGTTGATTTCGAATATTTTTTTTTTAGTCCTAATTGTTAATATCTACTGATACTTATGATAATCAGGGTTCTAAAAACATTCCATTATTTTATTAATGTTAAAATGAGGACTGAGTGGTGTACGGCTCTTCTTTTGAGTACACTTCACCACCTTCAATTTTATCAGATAAGACAAATTATTTATATTTGAAAAGACGTTAGTAATTGTTATATTAGTTCCAATGCTAGTGTTTAAATGTAAATATTTACGAATGTCGGATCTTCTTTTTAGCTTAATATATAAATATATATATCTATTATATATATATTTATAAATATTATACCTCGACGTATGCTTTCAAAGAACAACTGACCATGTGTTTGTGTCTATGTTCCGTTGGTGATTGAGGAGGTTGTATGTGCAATGGCCGACTTACAACTCCCTCAGTCCTGGATGAAAAGCGCCATGTTAGGAGTATATGCTTAAAAAAAAAAAAGAAAAAAATAATAATTAAATAAATATATTTAAAAAATTATATATAGTTACTGATAGCAGTGAGTATTTCTGCTGACTGAAGAGAGTCTTATCGTCAAAGTCGCGGGACAAAATTTGTATGTTACCAAACCTGAAGCTGACCTGGGTATAATCCCAGTGTACGTTGTGATACAATTAGGCACTTTTTAAATATTAGCTTTACAGTTAATTTCATATATAATTATTTAAGTAAACTGTGATCGTTTCTTGTGAGATGGAGCGACATTAGAGGGAACTACTTGTTATCAAATCAAAATGTTAAAATAAAAAAAAAATTTAAAAATCACAAAAAAAAAATTGTGAAACAGAAAGATTAAAAATGTGATGAGAATATTCTTACACTGCCTCCTTCGACAGATAGTATAGTATTTGGAGTGATGTATATATTCATTTGAGGTCCAAGAGTCGAAGGCTAAAACATGACATTGTAATCTTACAATAAAAAAATATTAATAAATTATAATTTAAAAAAAATTAAAATTAATAAAGGAATTTCACATGAACAGTCTCGATGCTAAATTAGCAATCGAGTAAAGACTGAAGCGTTTTGGGTGTTGGAGAGTTGCAGGAGAATCCTGCGAATTTTAGCAACTTTACTTGTAAGCAATTCCAGAACTACGTAATTAGGTATCAAGAAATTTAGCTCTTTTGAAATAATTTATATAAATAAAAAAAAATTATAAATAATTGTTTATAAATGCCTGTGAAGGTAAATAATGATATTATCTTATATATGTATACATATATAATTGTATATGGACTGTATATGTATATATACATATGTATTTAAATAAAAATATAATTACCTTTCAAAATATTTTTAAACGATTAAATTAATAAATACTGAAGCAATTATAAATATATCGGGGCTACCCAGCAATAACATAATACATATATGTAACATAATATATAATACATATATGTAACATAATATATTAAATATAAAGGATGATTTTGAAATAAGCATGGAAAAATTACGCACGAAAATGCTATGCTTCTTACGCCCTCTTATGAGTTTAGACTAGTTAATTTGCCCAGTTGTCTGTAAATGCAAGAATGAAATTTGTAACAGTCACAAGTTGGAATAAAGTTATTATTCATTATATTGTTTTATTGTAGTGTCCTATTAATCCATCAAAATTATTTTTAAGTATGGTTAATCAAATAAAGAATAAAGTGTATTGTTTAAGATTTTGCTTTAGATGACTTTAATTTAATTTAATTAATTTAATTAATGTTTAATATATATATGTCTGACCTACCAGAACACAACGACACAATACTGGCTACTTTTGCAGACGATACCGCAGTACTAAGCTCAGATAAAAACCCTGGTCGAGCATCTACCATCCTTCAAAATCATCTGAACGATATTGCAGACTGGGCAACAAGGTGGAAAATTAAGATGAATGAAAAAAAAAAGTGTGCATGTGGTATTCACTCTTAACCATAAACCTTCCCCTGAAATATATTTTAATAACATTCAAATCCTAACATCAGATGTAATTAGGTATTTAGGTTTTTACCTGGACAAAAGACTTACTTGGAAGACTCACATCAGACAAAAACGAATAGAATTAAACAGACGATACGGTCTCTTATCCAGATTACTTGACAGACGTTCAAAATTATCTTTAACTAACAAACTAACCCTTTATAAAGTCTTACTTAAACCTATTTGGACTTACGGCATAGAACTGTGGGGCTCTGCTAAAACTTCCAACATTAAAAAAGTTCAGTCCTTTCAGTCAAAAGTGTTGCGAAGGATAGTTGACGCAACTTTTTATGTCGCAAATGACACACTATATAAAGACTTAAACGTACCTACAATTTTAGATACTGCAAAAGAGAACTACATTAACTTTCACCAAAGACTGACGTACAACATGAATCCTCTGACAGAAATCCTTCATCGTACAAGAAACCCGTACAGCCCACCACGATGATTACGTAGGCGTTGGCCAAGAGACCTGCTGATTTAATTTATATCCCGGACGTGATGGGAAGCTGTGAAGCTGCTAAAAAATTTGCTTATTGCAAAGAAATTTGCAGATTGCAAATTTAATCTAATGTTCCACATTTTTTGTTTGGTTAATAAATAAATAAATAAAAATTTAATTTCCAGTGCTCAAACAAGATGACAGTTATTTTGTATTTTAACAACTGTTGGTATTTCTGAAAGGTACGAGTGGAAAAATAAAGTTAAAAAACAGATATTTTAACGTTTCAAATAAGTTATATTTTTTCTATGGATTGAAAAATCTTCTACATTTCTCCTTCATGAGTGTCAGTATTTATATTGAGTAATATTTCATTCCATCATATTCAATGGCAATATATAAATTCTTAAATATGAAAAATCTTTCTTTAAATAAATAAGTGATTTCAAATTTCATATTAATGAAATCAGTGACGTATCATTATATTTTTATGAATTTTCATGAACAAAAAAAAATTAACAAATGACTAATTCAATTTTTTTCCAAATTTTAAAAAGATAAACTGAGTCATGAAATAAATCTGAAAATGTTTTTACTTAAAATGCACATGAAAATAACTCATCACAAATATTACTTAATACAATGTAACTCCTTCGGTGCTATTTTACCAAAATCATTTCATGTACCAGTTTCACTTTTAAAGACTTGGAAAAAAGTGAATTAGCCGTTCGTTAATTTTTTTGAGGGGAGGATGGAGGCCACAAAAACCCTCAAAAATGAAAATGCTATTTTTCTAATCACATTGATGATTAGAGCCAAAAAATTGTAGAACTATTTTTTTTTTTTTAATGACCAATGTAAATACATCAAGTCATGTATACTATGGTGTAATGACATCACAAACTACTATTTGTACCACTCAGATAACAATTCTATGTTACAAGATCTTGAGATCATCTTATTTTCAGCAGCATATAAGGATTATCAGGAGTCGAAGATTAAGCAAAGCTAGAAACAATTGGATTGAAATGGTTCTCGAGTTTATAATGGAAGTATAGGTGTCTGCTTCCAGTCAAATCGGCATCATATGGAACATTGAGGTATTTTTTACAAATTAAGGAGCATTGAGGAATTAACGTAAGATTTTTGGATACGAGAAAAAATCGTTGGTTTAGTGTGTCCCAAACCTCAACTCCTTAAGTTCAAATTAGCCTTATTATAGTCATGTTAATAAGCCTTTTGTAATTAATTGGTAGCTTAAAGCGTTTTTCTAGTAAGCGCTGAAGCAGTCGAAACGGTTTAGCGGTTTCGCGTTTCTGTTTTGTATGAGGATAAATAATAAAAGGAATTCTACAATAAGCAGAAAGCTCGAAAAGAGAATGAATAAAACAATAAACTATAAAGTCATTATTATCTAACTAAAGTGAATAAATAACTTAATAAATAAATAAAGTGAATAAATAAGTTTTGTCAATTCAGGCACCATTAGAACAAAAAAAAAAAAAAAGATCTCATATTTGCAGAAAGGAAGAAAAGAACAATTAAAAAAAAAAAAAAATATACTGATATATATTTCTCATCACACAAAAAATTATTGAAGAAACAAGAGAGATAGGGTATTTAACAGCTGATTTGCAGAGTTACAGAGAAATAAAATACTAATACTTGATATTAATAATAAAATGTGTTTTTGTGGGTTATGTATGTTTTATAAACCTTCGAGCTTTTTTCTGTATTTATTAATTTGTTCTTCTCTTTTTTTTATAAATAAATATTTGAATTATTATATTTCAAGTATAAATATATTTTCCTTTATAACTGCTAATCAGCTGTTCTTTTTTTATAATATTTCTCTCCTATTTCCTTGAGTAAGTCTTTTGTTCGCTTGATGACATATAATAGGACTTTTTTTCTTTCTTTCGGCATATATATACATACATGGCATATATGATCTTGTTTTTCTTTCACCTGATGATATCTGAATTGGCAAGTTAATTGTTCATTTGTACGTTGGAGATTCGTGGCTTTAGAGTATGGATTATAAAAGTAATTCTCATAAACCGTTTGCAAAGACTTCAATGAACAAAAGTAAGTCACTGAGGACTTAGAAAGTAGAACCAGGTAAGTTCAATTTTTCTATTTTTATTTTGATACATTTTTCGCATTCTGAACATAACTGGCCAAACTTCAAGACCATGAATTTTATTCAATGTTGTCCAAAGTTCACAATCAATATCATTATATAAGTAGGTAAATGCTAAGCAGTTTAGCTCCTTTTTCTTCTCTGTTCCTCAACCGATTTTCTTTTTTCTCTTTTTGTTTAATAGCCACTGATGTGTTTAAGTTTTATGAATGAAAAATAAAATTGGAAACAGTTTATAATAAATAAAAAGCCCTTTTAATTTATGTATATAACATACTTGCCCGAATAACAGGCTGAAAAAAAGTAATAATGAATTTTGAATTTTACTTACGAATAACTAACTCAAAAGTACATAATCTTTAGTTCAATAAACCCCATGAGTGTTTGAAAACTTCCTGAATTCCCTTAAAAAATAAACACAAAAAAAAAATGTTGATCAGTAAAGTAAAATTACATTTTTAACACACACACAGACGTTTGAACACAATTCACAATAAGAGTACTCTAAACCAGATTTTTCTCTCAACTTTTTTGTGGGGAAAATAAGACTCCTGGAGATTCCTGCGCTACCTTTTAAGAGTGTCACTGATATTAAAAGCCAGTAGAAATTGAGTTAGAGCGCTATTGCCAATTAAAAACACTTCTTGAGTAGATAACTCAGGAAATGCTGGAACTCAGTATGTACATTTATACAAAAGGGCGCGGGACCACTGCTGTTTTAAATTTCGAGGAGGATTATAGAAATGGGAAGAGCTAGACAAGGTTTGTGCCGAAGGATTTGGAAGGTTTATAAGGAAAGAATGAGGAACAAATGGGATGTTACGGTCATGATCTAGGTTTTGTTGGTTGCATAAAAGGATACATTGATTTTTGTTCGAAGGACTTAAGACTTGAAGGATTAATATCCGAAAATTTAGCTGTCTCCACAGTTCTAGTCCGTAGGCTCAGATAGGTTTCAGAATTGTCTTGTAGATCAGTAATTTGTTGTCTATAAAAATTTGAGATTTTCTATTCAGTAGTCTATATAGTTGGACATACTATGGGTTAACCTTTTTTCTTTTAAGTCTGGTTAGAGGGGTCCAGTCCTCTGTCTAAGATGAAGCAAACACATCGTCTTTGTCATAAAAAAGAAGCTTGATGAAGTTACAATGGTCTGGTAGACGTAAAGATATAGGTGATGTATTTGTATTTGGATTCATTTACTTTGATTTCCAATTTTTTGCACCCATTTCTAATCCAGGAGATTCTAGAAGGTTTTGTACCACGGACTAAAGTGGTAAGGTCTGAGGCATTTGATAGATGGGGAGGATAAGGAATATAATTTTTGATGTTGAGTTATTTATATTATTTATATTTCGAATAATAGGATGTTGAAACTAAGGCTGAGGAGGTTTTGTTATATATTACTAATCGTCTGAAAGACACCGTTGAGTCCACGATATTGAGGTTCTTTGTCTAGTTATTTCATTTTGGTTCCGGGATCTCTGATATCGAGATTTGAGAATTTTATAAATTTGTTGACCTATATATAGTTGGCAGGATGTTCTTCCAGGGATAGGGCACACAAAGTACAGGGTTTTTCATTGGTTTGGTCCATCCGTCAGATTTCTGTGTTTTTTTAACTACATTTCACACAACGTGGCAATAAGTCTTTGTGTGACAGTAAGTCTGATAATTGCGGCACTGGACGGTTTCTCTCTTGGGATCTTTTCTCTATTAATCTCTTTTAGTCTTTTTTTCAATAAAAAATAATAAACAAATTGGATCTTAGTGACGGGGCAATGCCGGTCACGCCATTTTCTATTGTAATTTTTTAGAAAGCTATTATTTATTCGCTTATTTCAAAAGTGAATTCTAATCGATTTTTAGGAAAATTTAAATAAGTATCGATTACAGCGTAAAACACCCAATAAACCCGATGATTTAATTTTTTTGTTTTCAAAAACAAAAATTTTTAAACAGGTGGTGTAAAATAAGTATATT